AGGAACAGAAAATCAAATTCAGCATGTTCTTACTTACAAGTGGGAGCTAAACATTGAGTACATTATAGACACAAAGAAGGGAACAACAGACACTGCGACCTACTTGAGAGTGGAAGGTGGGAGGAGGGTGAGGATCAAGAAACTACCTATCAAACAATGCTTATTACATGGGTGATGAAATAATCTGTACACCAAACCCCTTGTATAACAAACCTGCACATGTACCCCTGGATCTAAAATAAAAAGCTAAAAAAAGAGCATTCATAATGGTGTGCAACCATTGCAACTATCCACTTCCAGAACGTTTTCATCATTCCAAACACTCTATACTTCTTAAATAATAACTCCGCATTCCCCTGTGTTCCCAGTTCCTGATAACTACTTTTCTATTTTCTTTCCCTATGAATTTACCGAGTCTAGAATCCTCAAGTAAGTGGAATCACAATACTTCTCCTTTTGTGTGTGGTTTATTTCAGTTATTTATTTGTTTCATTTATTTTTAAGGTTCATCCATGTGGTAGCATGTATCAAAACTTCATTCCTGGCCGGGTGTGGTGGCTCATGCCTGTAATCCCAGCACTTTAGGAGGCCGAGGCGGGCGGATCACCTGAAGTTGGAAGTTCGAGACCAGCCTGACCAACATGGAGAAACCCCGTCTCTACTAAAATTACAAAATTAGCCAGGGATGGTGGCATACTCCTGTAATCCCAGGTGCTTGGAAACCTGAGGCAGAAGAATCGCTTGAACCTGGGAGGTAGAGGTTGCGGTGAGCCAAGATCGTACCATTGCACTCCAGCCTGGGCAACAAGAGTGAAACTCCATCTCAAAAACAACAACAACAACAACAACTTTATTCTTTTTTACAGAGAAATAAAAGTTTGTAGTATGTATATACCACATTCTGTTTATTCACTTATTTATTAATGGAAACTTGGGCTGTGTTCACCTTTGGGCTCTTGTGAATAATGCTGCTATAGACCGTTGGTATACAAGTGCCTGTTTGTATCCCCGCTTTCAATTCTTTTGGGTGCACACCTGGGATTGAATTGCGGGATCACATAGGCATTCTATATTTAACCTTTACAGAAACCATCAAACTTGTTTTTCACAGTGGCTGTAGCATTTTACATTCCCACCAGCAATGCACAAGTGTTTCCTTTTCCCCACATTCACACCAACACTTGTTATTTTTTGTTTGTTGTTTTATTTTTTATAACTGCCATCCTAATGAGTGCAAATTAGTATCTCATTGCCATTCGGGTATTCTTAAACACGTTCTGTGCCAGGGAGCACCAAACAATACCAGGAAGCTATTGCAGATCATCTTGAATTGTTAGAAGGCTCTTATTAACTAGTACTAAATCTTGCCTCCCTGTCAGTGACTCTAATTCATTACACATCAGAGTCATTTGGGAGCTTTTAAAAATTTCTCTATCCAAGCTGCAATCCAGACCAATTAAATCAGCACCTCTGAGGGTGGATTCCCAGAATCAGCATTTTTTAAGGCTCCTCAGGTAACTTAAATATGCAGGTAAGGCTGGGAACCACTGCTTAAAGTTCACCCATTGGTCTTAGCCTCCCAACCTGTGATAACCTTATCATTGAGCTTTCTCTGACATCCTTTATTAAATAGCCAGCCTGCAATCCCCCATGGGCCATCCAGTCCTCCTTACCCTCCTAGATATTCTTTTTTTTTTTTGCCATGGACTGTTACAGTTGACATGTTACATACTGTCTTGTGCATCTGTTTATTGTCTGTTTTGCTTTCTGTTTTTCTTATTGCTGTTTCCCTAGGACATGCAACAATGCCTAACACAGATTAGGTGCTCAGAAATTGTTGAATGACTGAATATGTAAATCTACTCTTACTTCAAATGGCAGCCCTCAGATAGCTAAAAGTAGCTTTTGCATTTCATCTCTGGGCCTTCTTTTCTCTAGGTGAAATCTCTATACTTTCAACCAGTCTTCAAAGACATTGAATAATATATATAACCATTATGAGCACAATATATCTCTCTTTCACTGAATCAGCAAGTAATTGAGCACTTACTATGTAAGGCATCATCTACATATGTAATATTAATTCGTAGTATTACATGTACATTAATACATACTCTAGACTAGAGATTGTGCCAGACACTGGAGATTGTAGCGAAAAAGATAACCGAAGTCAATCTGTGGAATTGGGGCATAGACAACTGTCAATAACATAAGTCTTTTCAGATAACAGTAAATGCTCTAAGGAAAATGAGAAATGTTTGTTGGCTGTGGTACATTAACTGGGGGTTAAATTTAATCTGAGACCTGAATGACAAGAAGTCAGTCACTGAAGAATCATTCTAGGAAGAAGGCACCTCAAATCCGGAGGCCCTGGGGTTGGAGGAGATGAGTTGCAGAGGGGCCGTGAGTCAGAGACTCTGAGAAGGACAGGGAAGAGAACCACCATCACCTCCTTTGTTAGTGCCTAACTCAACTAACATGATGTAAGATCAAATGAGTTTTTGGTGGCTACATTAGCCTGTTAAGGTCTTTTTCCTAAGTGTACAGTTTTCCTCACTGAATTAAATCTTCCCTGTCTAATATTTGTGCTGTTGATAGTTTGAACTTAAGTGTAGAAGGGTGATTTAGATGAGCATATCTGGAATTTCTTTTCATCTGAATCCCAGCCAAAACAATCTATCAAACTGCCTATAAAAACACTTCTCAGCTGAATGGAGGGACTTTCTCATTCTCCAACCACTACCAGACTGGTTCCTCATTCCTTTTGGCACCTTGTCTTCTGTGCCAGCTTAACAGAAGTTCTGGACAAGGCCAAAGCCAGGACTTTGCAGGCTGCTTCCATTTGGAGAGGGCATGCATCTTAATTTTCAGTCAAAAGAGCTCAGGAAAGACGAGAGAATTCTTGATTTTTGGAACCCTGTGTTCTCATTGGTGGGCTCACAGAACAAGCAGCCTCTCCCAGACCAGCCACTAACATGCTCTGACAAGTCAGCTCTTCTTTTCCATATTCAAATGTGGGGTTTGGGTCTAGGACAAACTTGTCCAACCCACAGTCTGTCGGGGCACAGCCAGCCCAGGACAGCTTTTAATGCAGCCCCACACAATTTATAAACTTTCTTAACACATTATGAGATTTTTCTGCAATTTTTTTTTTAAGCTTATCAGCCATTGTTAGTATTAGTGTATTTTATGTGTGGCCCAAGACAATTCTTCTTCTTCCAGTGTGGACCAGGGAAGCCAAAAGATTGGACACCCCTGGTCTAGGAGTTTTAAGATTCTTTGAAACTTCATTAAAAAGAACGTTTTATTATACTTTAAAAGTTTTTGAAATCCATGTATCTTCTGAATATTAATCTGCAGATATCATGCTTTCATTGAAAAGGTATCTTCATTTTCAAGTTAATAAAACAAAATGCTGAGTTTACATGGGGAAGGCAACATTTGTAGACTAAATCAGATGCTGAAATTGACAAGAACACAAATTTGAACTGGGAAAACAATGACATATTGTGGGCACTAAAAGAAATGATCAGGGTGGTGAAAGGAGCCACTGAGCTTATTTATTGGCTACTATCTTTCCAACAGATTTCACAGAATCTGAATTCAATTTGTCCAGGTGAACTGATGGAAGAACAACCATCAAACCACAATCTTTTTTTCTCTGGGAGAACCTACCTGTAAGCAGAGGCTTCTGCATGGGCTGGAATGGGACACTGTAACAAAATGGCTTTGCATTCAAGTCAAGTAACTGTATGAATGCAAAGTGGCTTGCTCAGTAACAACTGGTTCAAGTTGCTACTGAGTAAGCAGTGGGCTCCTTGCTGATGTTCACAGAAGCCAATACTATGGCCCTGGCTTTTGAGGGGGAAAAAAAAAAAGAAGACTTCATTGTAAGTTGATTGGCAAGGAAGCAGGAGGCAAAACTCAAATCTGTCACCCTGAGCTGGGAGCTATGGCAGGTTTTATAGGCAGAGGGTAATAAGGTGTGATCTGATTGGATCTTGTGATAAGTTAATGCCAGGAGGTATAATGTGACTGTGATAAGTTAATGCCAGGAGGTATAATGTGACTGTATTATGCCACAAGGTGATGCTATGGCCCGATATGACTGGATCATGGATCATGCCATGAGATGTCCACTTCTTTATTTGGTCCCCATGCCTTGGTCCAAGCACTTAGGTTCCACCCTGTGGTTGCATGCTTGGTTCATCTGGGCTTGGTCAGTTTAACTTGCAACCTGGGGGTCCATGGCAACTAAAACACAACTCACCATTTTATACACAAATTTGGACCAGTTTGGGCTACTCCTGCAATTACAAAGTTACTATCACTCATTCACTCAGCTTTTGCAATATAGTTGAGTAGGTCCACAAAACAGGAATCAACCACATATGTCTGAATGCTAGTTGAACTAAATGCCCTGAAGGAAAGACACAAGTGCTTGGATGGAAAATAACTTGTTAATTCAGCCCTCTAAGCCTCATACTCCTCTTTTTTTTTTTTTTTTTTTTTTAGACGGAGTCTCACTCTGTCACCCAGGCTGGAGTGCAGTGGCCGGATCTCAGCTCACTGCAAGCTCCGCCTCCCGGGTTTACGCCATTCTCCTGCCTCAGACTCCCGAGTAGCTGGGACTACAGGCGCCTGCCACCTCGCCCGGCTAGTTTTTTGTATTTTTTAGTAGAGACGGGGTTTCACCGTGTTAGCCACAATGGTCTCGATCTCCTGACCTCGTGATCCGCCCGTCTCGGCCTCCCAAAGTGCTGGGATTACAGGCTTGAGCCACCGCGCCCGGCCCATACTCCTCTTACATATAGGAGCTAACCAGGAAAAAATGTTAAGTGACAGGTTCAGATTTTGGTGTACATTAAATGCATGATAAATATATGTGTCAGCAGCTGATGGTGAAGTTACCTTTCTGAAGGTCAATGATGAAAAGATAAATTTTCTTTCCTGTGTCCCAGACTTTCATTCAATTATTTGTGCTCGTGTGTGTCTTTCAGTTCCAAGGAGGGTTTCGGGTCAGTGGAGAAGGTCGTGCTGCTCACGTTTCTCTCGGCGGTTATCCTGATGGCCATCTTGGGGAACCTGCTGGTGATGGTGGCTGTGTGCTGGGACAGACAGCTCAGGTGAGCAGCAGGAGGGAACCTTTTGAGGAAACATGGGAGTTCTGAGCCGTCCCTGGAGAGTTGGGTGTGAACATTTCCATTTTAATTTGTAATTAAGAAAGAAAGCATTGATGGGAACAATATTTTAAAAAATAAAAGGAATGATAAAGGGATTGCAATTAATCCTACAACTCTAATACAACCAGTGTAAACACTTCAGTGTATTTCCATCCTGTCATTTTTTTTCTTTGTCAAATGTGTTTATAGTTGTGATCACTATATATACAATTGTTGAGAGCACATATAATCTAACCTCCCCATTTTATTAATGGTTTAGGGAAGATGTGGCTGACAAGGGACAGATCTAGAAATTAAACCTGTGTTTTTTGCACTTCTGCTTCACCAGGCCCAACTTTGGCTGCAATTAGAACCACCTGAAGCACTTTTAAAAACTATCATCGTGGGGTATTAGTATGTCTCATGTAGTATTTTGGACATAGTTATGTTCAAAAAGTTTTATTTATTGCTAAAATTCAAATCTAATCAGCCATCCTGTATTTTATCTGGTAATCTTTGAGGGGAGAGGTGTTAACTCCCCAGGGTGCCTGAACTAACTGATTTGGAGTGAGACCTCAGCATCAATATTTATTAAAATGCATCAAATGATTCTAGTGTACAGCCTGGGATGAGAGTCTCTGGGCCATAAAAGGGTATAATGAAGCAGTTCCTCTCTAAGTAAGACATGCACACGTCTAACGATGATGCAAATAAAGTGTAAAAGCGTAATTCTGACCAGTGTTATAAATGTGAGTACACAGTAGCCAGTCTACTAGTGTAAAATGGTGGACTGTCTCTACAGTCACAGGGCACACCTTGGGAGAGTTTCCTGAGAATGCCCAACCAAGGACTGATGGGTGGGTGGGATTAACTAGGGAACCCTTGGAAGAGAGAGCATCTGCATTGGCCCTCAAAAGGGACCTGTATGTGCAGGGGAACTCAGATTAGCGCAGGGTGGCCAGAAAGGGGAGGAAAAAAGAGGTTTTGGTATAAGGTAGGTCTGGAGAAGTCAGGAGAGGCTGGACCATACTGGGTCTTCTCAGCCATGTTACAGAAGGGGAAACTGAATCTCATGGAATACGCTAAGCATGTGACGTTTTCTTTCCTCTTTACCCCTCCCTTCTTTTCTTTCTTTGCTTCCCTTTTCCCTGTTTTTTCTCTTGATCTCTTCTCCCTCCCCTTTTTCCCTTCATCCCTCCCCCTGCCACCTCTCTTACATTTTTTCACTCACAGGAAAATAAAAACAAATTATTTCATTGTATCTCTTGCTTTTGCGGATCTGCTGGTTTCGGTGCTGGTGATGCCCTTTGGTGCCATTGAGCTGGTTCAAGACATCTGGATTTATGGGGAGATGTTTTGTCTTGTTCGGACATCTCTGGACGTCCTGCTCACAACAGCATCGATTTTTCACCTGTGCTGCATTTCCCTGGATAGGTAAGGACAGAACAATGTGCACAGTGGAGCTCCATGTTGGAGACAATGACTTGATGGATATTGGGCAGTGTCTGCCTTTTCTTATTCATTAGAAGAAATGAACCTCAGAGAGGTAAATTTGGTAATTCAGTTATACAGTCACTCTCCAGCCTTTGCAGAGGCCCCCTTTTTAGTCAAGCCCTCTCTGGGGCACTGTAGATGTGCAGATTAGTAAGACCTAGGACCTGTGTGCAAGGAGTTTGCAATCTAAATAGCAATAGATGTCAGCAATCAAGTTTACTGTAGAGCTCTACATTTTATACTAATGGCATGAACAAAATTCTGAAGAAGCTGAGCATCACGAATGAGTACATCTTCCCAGAGGGCAACAGGGGTGGTTCAGAATGAAAATGCCCTATGTTTGAACATAACCTTTTCTTGAAAATATGTTTCTGTAACAATTTGATATACATATTTGTGTATGTGCATGAATTGTGGAGACTCTTTTCCAGAAAGTTACAGATGATAATAAACTTCCCAATAATTTTATATTTTTCGGACCCACATCTAGAATTTCATTCTTGTTGCATAATTTTATTCTCTTTCTTCATATTTGACTTCAAGAGACCTAATGATTTCCATCTTTGCCTCATTTGTCACAGATTTATGTATTTATCACTTGTATCATCACTATTCATTTTCCAATTCCTGCTAATTTACATTTCGTCATAAAGGTAGAATGCAATCTAAAGTCAGATGATTACACAAACATATGCTGTTATCAATGCAGTCGTATCTTAGGGGTTAGCTCTCAGAAAAATGTGGGGTACAAATCACACGTAATCAGAATTACCAGTGACAATGATTTCTTACTGTCTCTTGAGCAGCCCAACAAACCCAAGTTTTCCTCCAGTCTTGAGATAGGTCACATTTTAAAAATTTATTTTAATTTATTCTTATTTATTTTTTATAGAGACAAGTCTCACTATGTTACGCAGGTTGCTCTCGAACTACTGTGCTCAAGTTATCCTCAGGCTTCAGCCTCCCAAAGTGCTGGGGTTACAGATGTGAGCTATTGTGCCCAATCACTGTTTTTTTGAATTGACGACTAGGAAAAGTAGCTGACTGAAACTAGAGATTGTGGTATATCTAACATCTAACATACAGACTTTTAAACGCTAACATCACAGTCTTCCCAGAGAATTAATCACACTGGGGGAGGTACTTAGAGACTGAAACCAGTTGAGGGGACAGCAGGTTCATCTCGTATTTCATGGGACATATGTGCATTGATTGGAATGGCAGGCATAATGGCCTGCTCTATTTAAATTGCTTTCTCTTTTGCTCTGTCAAGAACGTATAGTTGGATTTGCTTAAGTTAAATGCATGTATAATGAGACTCCACTCTATAGCTAGAGATAATGACTCTGGTAAAATTGAACTGATGGAAAGCAACCAGACCCATGGCATGTAATAGTTGGAAATTTGTGTTTATTAGCTTGTTTACAACAATCTGACTTCAGGACATGAAAGACTTTTAAAGACAGTCAGGATACACTATATGAAAGTTCTTATTATAGGAAATACAATGTAAGGAAGTAGAAAATCTATGGAAATCCTGCTGGGTAACTTGCACATGATCATTGTTAAAAATGAGTAGTGAGACTGAAAGTACTACAGGAATTTGGAGAAGGCCAGGCAGGGGAGATGGGGGCAGCTGAGGCAATCTCAAGGCCTGGGTAAAAGCAAGAGTAAGAAAAAGAGCCAGTCAGCCACGAAAAAAAAAAAGGGGGAAAGTGTAGAATCAACTGTCCGATGTGGAGAGTTTGCTTTGCGCAGCCCTGAGAGAAGGTCTAGAGGTTTCCTAGAAAGGTTTGGCTTCAGATTTATGCTTACATACTTTTCAAATCAGGAAAATTTTCCTGAGTAGGTATGAGTTATCATGAAACAGGATGAATTGGTCATTAAGAACCATCTGCTTTAGAATTGAAGAGATTTGGGTTCAAATCCCAGCTTTTAAAATGTTTAGTTCTGAGAATGGCAATAAGTGATTAAGCCTTTCTGAGTGTAAGCCTTTCTTATCTCTAAAACTTGAGGAGGTAGCACCTATTTTGTGTGACTGCAGTTAGGTATAAATTGGATAATCCATTTAAGGCATCACTTTGGCCCAGCTTGTCATGGTACTCTATGTTAGTGGATGTTGTTGTTAATGTCAGTTTCTTGTAACTAGCTGTACAACTCATGATCTTTCTCATCAAACTTGCACCTCCTCAGTGAATAGCTGCTCCAACAGCTGCATCATCTAGAAACCAGGCAGTTTTTCTAAGAGCAGTCTTTCCTCATCTCCTACATTTAAATAATGAGAAGTCCTGCTCATTTTCTTTCCTAAAGAGATCCTAGTCTATTTCTCTCTATCATTTGTCCAAAGTAATATCATTTCTTGAATAAACCACTCAACACTTTCCTAATTATTCCCTCCAAATATGTTTTATTCCCTCCCCATCTACTTGTCACTCACAAGATCAAATAGTCATCTTTTTAAAATGCTGCTCTGATACTGTTGCTCCTTTACTTAAAACCCTTCAGTGGCTATTCATTGTACTGAAGATCAAGACCAGACTCATACAGGGTTTTTCATCCTCTGTTTGCTGTCCATGTCCCCAGCTTCCCTTCACCCTCTTCCTAACCTCACCCCCAGGCCCGAGTCACCTTGGCCTTCTTTCTAGTTCTCCAGGCCTCTGAGGCTCAGTCACCTGAGGCCTTGGCTTTTCCCTCTGCCTGAAAAGCTCCTCTGCCCCTCCTCTCCTGCACGTCTTTCAGATTTTAGCTAAATCTTCTCTTCTTTGCAGAAGTCTTCGCTGACTCCATCAAAACCATTTTTCTCCTTCGTAGAACTCAGTGTAATTATAGTTAAAATCAAGTCTATACTTTCTTCTTAAATGTCTTTCTATTCCAATGGGAGGAAGCTCAAGGCTACGAACTTTGAGCAAGGTCCTTGCCCTCAAAAAACTTGCATTGTTATGCGGAGGTTGACAATTAACCAGTCATTGCATAAATACTTATTTAGGTATTTGGCAAACAGGACTGAACAAATGGAGTGGTCAGCACATGCTCTTTGTGAAAGTCATGCCAATAATTCCATTTCTTTCTCTGACAGTGGATGTCAACAACTCCAATACCATAAGTGAGATATCAGATGGGGTTTCTTTTGTTTTATTTTCCTTGGGGAGCTTGGGGATCTTGCCTCCAGCTTGTCTCCAGCTTTCCCTGTCTCATAGTGCTGGAGGGTCCACCCTGAACATTGCAGGGCAATGTTTTAGCCTGGAAGAGTATGGTTTTATTTATCATCTAGTGTCTGTTTTGCTGTGTTCTTCCCATGCTAACAGTTTGGTTCAGCTGGGCTGGGCCAAAGAACAGAGTGAATGTCTCAATGAGATGTGATGTCCTTGTTAACCATGTTATTCCTGGCAGTATGCCATGTCCTTCTCTCTAGAGCTGCTACCAGTCTTCTGGGGTCAGTCCTAAGGGGTAGTTCCTTTGAGCAAGAGGACTCACTCTGATTTGTAACTCCTCTCAGATGGCAGACTCCTGGATCAAAGCAAAATGTAGAACTCCTTTAGTATTACAAAATGCATTTTCCCAACTCCCATTCTTAGCTCACTGTGCTTCCTGGTGCTTTCAGAATTGAATTATGCTAATAAAAATTTATTGCCTCCTTAAAGATAATTTCCAAAGTATAATTAAAATAAATGCACCATCTAGTATGGGTCATAGGAGATCAAAAACTGCTTTAAAAGCTTTAGAGTACAGTTGATTTTTTAAGATCTAAAGTTCTGTGGTGAATAAAAACTAACCAAGTAGTCATAACAGAGTATTAGTTTTAAAAGTGAAATATAAGACAGCCATTGAAAACCATGAGAAATAATGACGCGTGTTGTCCTAGAAAGATATCACTGTTGTATTATGTTGGGGGAAAAAGAAGCAAGTGGCAGACTGTAATGCTTAGCATAATTCCACTTTTATAAAATAAATATAGAGATGCATGTATCTGGGTTTACATGAGTGTGTGTGGAGACGGAGAGAGAGAAAGAGAGAGAGAGAGAGAGAGAAAGAGAGAGAGGGAGAGAAAAAGAGAGAGATTGAGAATGAAAAAGAAAGAACATGAATGAATTTTCACCAAACGTTTAACAGTTGGTTATTTGAGGGGTAGGGCATAGGGTGTAGTGCTGGCCAGAGTGGATGGTCAGTTGAATTGGGGTTGGGAGCCTTCACTTTTACTAATTTCTGTAATATACATTTTAAACTTCAATTTTCCCTTTGCTAGAAGGTAACCTTCTCAAATGCAAGTCCATCCACAATAGCTTTTTAGCTGAAAATGTTGCTAGAATGGCGCATTCCTCAGTTCTCTGAGAACATTCTGCTTCGGTGCTGGGAGTTCCCTCTGAGGTCAGAACAAACCAGGGAGCATGGAAATCTTCCTGACCAGCGTGTTCTCTCTGCTTTCTCACCAAGCACACTCACTTCTCCCTCAAGGGAGCCCTCACCATCTCTTGTGGGTGCATCACTCCCACATTGATCTTGGTTAACCTCCTCCCTGTTCACAAGCTTGTATTTGATTTTTTCTAACAGTCCCTTTTCTAATTCTCACAGATTTTTAAAGTCACAATATTAATACCTGAGCATTGTAAAAAAAGGTCATCAGTTCATAAGTAAAACTAAAAATGTCCCCAGTTCTTTCAATATCCACTTCCACAGCTGCATAACCTGAGGTAACCACTGTAAATAACAACTGCCTGTAAATGCCAGTGATTTCATATGTAATAAGCAGACTTATTTGAATATATTTTGAGTTTACAATTTAAGTATGCCCTTGAAGAGGGCTTGTACTATATATATGCCAGTGAATTACCTGAATGTAACGTTTTTACCAACTTGCTTATTGGATGATCTATTAGCAATGTTTCTTTCAGCAGCATACGGCAGATAATAAATTGATTGTTCAAATAACTGAAAAGTCTGGC